TTTCGTCGCGCAACGTGGTTAGATCCACTCCTCCAAGTCGATTTGAGGCAGTCTGGAACTCAGCAGATCGGTTTTGGGCCACAGACGTTTTCGTCTGAGTTTCAGTCGTCTTAGGGAGCTTTGTGGGCCCCCGAGCCTTCGCCCGAGTCCTGGGTCCGGTCCGCGGCGATGCTGAAGTGCGTACGGTGCCAATATCCTCGTTCCGATCTTCTGAAGTAAAATGGGAGGCAAGCATATCTTGGAATCCCCCAGAGGTCGGCACGTTTTCGGTGTTCTGAAAGCTCCCATCTGCATTCACCTGACCGGCAGAGCTCTCCGCCACAACACCGAACCCCACAGACTCTAACGAATTGCCGCCAACAGCAAATGAGCCGTCATCAGGCTCGACGTCGAAAGCGAAATTCTCTCTGAAGTCTTCTTCCTCGTTGTCGGCCCCGTCTTCCATTACAACGACACTGGCCTTGTCGTCGATGGCGTTCTTTAGCTCTTTAGCGAGCTTGATGTGCGGCGGCATTTCAGAAGTCCCAGTCGGCTTCCTTGTGCTGTAGAGCACCTTGAATTTTCGCCGTAGGCTGTCAAACTCCCGCTCCGGCCACCCACGCATCCTACTTCCACTGTAGAAGCCCGCCAGCCTCTCCCATTCGTCCTTACCAAGGGGAAGGATGTCTTCAATGAGATTCAGCAAGCGGGAGATCTCTGCCATCTTGTAGTTTGCGCTACCCGACACCTTCGCCATCGTTAGAGCCACCGCTAGTGGCGTGAGACTGACGGCGTGGACTTGCTCGGCTTTGGCATAAAGCAGAATGAAAAACTTCGTGTACCGGCTTCAGTCGCTTTTGCTGCACCCAGTTAGTGTCCATCCTGTGATTCGAAGGCCATATGCCATCTTCAACCACGTTGCTCTCCAAAACCAACAGAATACCGCGGAAGAAGGTCGTACCGAGTGTGACCTTGCAGAAACTAGGAATAGAGAACATCAACATGAACAACACATCTTGATTGAGTGCCGTCTTCCTGGAGTCTCGTACCTACGGAAGGTCCAATACCTCTACATCTCCCCTGTGAGTCCGTGACTCGCTCTCCGTGGCGGCTGCTATCTCGCCTGCTACCTCGCCTCGTCGAGCCTTGGCTCAAGGATCTTGCTTGTCTTGTATGTCTCTGTGGACACATCCATCGAGACCACAGCGACAGACGAACCACAAGTCGTCCCCATAACCAACGGTGACCTCCTCTCCGCGAAAGACGCGCTCTGTCGTCGCAACCACGACCGTCGTTCGGCGCCCATTGCTGACCTCCAAGAACTCTGCAACCGGCCGGCACGAGTGGTTCGCGAACCGCATCAATCCCCCCATGGTCTCTGCATTTATTGCGACTTGAACGCGGTGGGCCGGAGATTCGGGACGTTGCTTCATCACCAATCGATATCCGTTGTTCCGCGGGCGCCGAGCTCGCGAGACACTGAGGTGCTCAAACTCGCCGAGATACTGCCCGACCACCTCCCCGACGCCGATGTCCTCCGCCGCAACCACCGCCAGCGATGATGTACGCACGTTGCGCCCCAGGAATACCTTCGGAGACTCTGCCAAGCCGTTTCCGCACTTTCCTTCAAATGGGCAGGTGTTGACGTTACAGAATACATCCATGAGCGAGTTGCGACAGACTCCGACCCGGCACGGCGATGAGCATGTACACCAGCCGAAGTGCGGCACGTACGGGAATCGAATGTACGAAGGGTTATAGGATTCGCGGATGTGTATAACACGATTTGGCCACCGCGCAGGCACGAAGAGCTGGAATGTAGGCGCCGTAGACCTTCTTGGCAGAGGACGGGGGGTCTCTGGCGAAGATGCCAACGACCCGTTATCGTTGAGCACAAGCATAAGCGGAGCATATGGGCCAGATGCACTTCGGCGGGCTTCACGACGCCCATGGCGAGCCGCAGATGTCTTTGAACGTGCTGCAAGTCGCACAGGAGAACGCGGAGGAGTCTCCAGAAGCAACGGGGAGGATGTCGTAGGACTGGCAGGTAAACGACGACTAACCGGACTGCGAGTTGCAGCACTCAGATCCTGCGATGATGGCAAGTTCGACTTGTCCTTCGGCACGCGATCCGTGAGCCCGGGCGATAACCATGGAGGCGTAGCAGTCCCTGATGACGCCAGATCGGACTCTGTGCTCTGGCTATCGGGTACTTCCTTGGTCTCCGGCGATGCCCTGCCCTGCATGACATTTGGAGGAGTATTCTCGTCGTCGCTGTCAAGCACGCAGCGAACCTTCCAGTGCAGTCCGGGGTGTCTTAAATGCACCATGTCTCCTGTAGACACATACATGAGCGTTAAATAACAACACATAAACTTTACTGCTTGTCACCCACCTCTTCTCGCCTCTGGCCGAAATCGAAAGTGATGGCCAACTTGAAGTTGCGGAGCTTTATGCCAGAGTTTAAGTCGCTGGCTTCTATCAGAGTGATGGTCGACATAAAGTTTACAAATTTCTATATTAAATTTTAAGATGGCTTCACGACATAAATCTAGGGGTAGGTGCGTCTCGTGAGACCAAATATACGTCTCACGAGAATTTATGTCATCTTAAACTTTGACATATCTGCTGCAAATATGACACGTGCTTATGCTATTTATGGAAGGCACCCACTGGCTGTCACTAGCGAGGTTCAGCGCCGGCGATCTGAAATTTTGGCTGCTTGCGAGAACGAGCTTCAGAATTCCATGGACGAGTTTGACGACCTTGTACGCACGCTAGAGCGGCGACAGACGCAACCCCCCAAGTGACGTTAGTAGCAGTTCGCAGTTCAAAACGAAGTGTAATCCAGTCCGTGGGTATTAATTTGGCACACAGCCTTATGAACCGATGTTTCATCCAATCAATCCGGCTAAAATCGATTTGCTAGCCAATAGAAATGACTGTGGATAGGTGTACTTTCCGACAAATATTTGTTTTTACAAAGGTAAAGTATAACAATTTTTTAACGAATATTTTTGTGATTCAGACAGCTAGGCACAATCCTAGGTTACAGTAGGGCGACATTGGTAGTGTAACAGGGCACTAGTACGAGGGACTGAGCGGGTCTTTGCTGTTGAAGTCGGGCAGCTGCAACCCGGCGCGGAACACGGGCAGCTCGTTCGTGGGGAAGCGGAGACGACGCCAGCTCACGGGACCAGCGGTGAATGTGAGCGACAGAGGCTCGCGTGACAGGAAGAGCCGCGGTACGGTACAGTCTGTACCCACAGCTGCAGTGGGGTACGACACCGACCGTTACTGTCGAAGGGCGATGAGCGTGCGATAGTGGGCCCTAGCAGAGCAATAAACGAAAGGACGAGGTGGTGAGACGACGAAGTGTAGCACTGTAAGAAGCCAGTAGAGCAGCTGCTTCACGTCGAAGTCGACCGAGAATTCGGGACGTGATGTGGACACTGAGCGGCGAGCGGCGGC